GGAACATATACTATGAACACTGTGCTAAGTGCTTTATTTGAATTACCTCATTTATTATTCACAAAACCCTATGAAAAAGTACTATTACCACAACTTTTAAGAATAAAAAGCTGTCAAGTTCAAATAGCTAGTAAATGTTGGAACTTGAATTTGAATTTATGCAGCCTAACTTCAGAGATGCATGCTTCTTGCTTTCCACTCTGGCTCCCAAATCATTTCTCTTCCGTCCTCTTTCAAAAGCCTTGGCTCCTGTGGGCTTGTTTCTTCTGTCTATACCCCCAGCTACTGCAGCTCTCCAGAAACACCTTCTGTTGTCCTAGTCTGTCCACTTGAATTCACTGAAGTTTTGGCTCTTTCTTCACTATTTTCTTTGCAGCCTCTACTCCTGTCAATCTGTTAACCCCATCCACGCTCACACATGTGCCGCATTTCCTTCAACTTCCCTCCATCCCCAGCTTAAATTCCATGACCCTTCATTATAATCATTCTCTTTCAAACACCCGTAATTCCCTTATTCTTCTCTCTCATTACTCTCGTGGAAAAAAAAAAGCCACCACCCTGATTAAACCTAACTGTTCATCTCTTCTCGAGAAATTGGCATATATAGGCTGGATGGTTTTACTCAACATTCATGAACACAAACCTCAGGTAGCTTTGCAGCATGACCTGGCAATCCTCACTATGCATCTCCTTTGCTTTCACTCTTTAAGGTGTCTCTTTCATATTTTCTCCTCTTTTTTCAAAGCTCCTACAGTCTCTCCCTTGCCTCAAGCTTAGCTGATGACTTTGCCTCCAATTTCATTGAGATAAAAGGAACAATCAAACAGGAAGTTCTTCCTAGTCCCCCCTCCAAATCTACAACCTTTTCTGTACATGCATCTGTCTTCTTTGTCCTCCCTCTAACTATCATGGAGAAATGCCTCTGCTTCTATCAAGGCACTCTTACCACTTGCACTGTATTTTTATTTATTTATTTATTTTTGATGAGGAAGATTGGCCCTGAGCTAACATCTGTTGCCAATCCTTCTCTTTTTGCTGAGAAAGATTGGCCCTGGGCTGACACCTGTGCCCATCTTTCTCTACTTTATATGGGACACCTGACACAGCATGGCTTGATAAGCAGTGCGTAGGTCCGTGCCCGGGTTCTGAACCTGTGAACCCTGGGCCACCAAAGCAGAGCATGCGAACTTAACTGCTACGGTACCGGGCCGCTCCCACTACCACTTGTACTTTAGATTCCGTTCCTTCTCACTCCCACAAGGATTTTGCTCCTATGCCATCTTGTTTTCTCTCTCCTGCATCATTAATATTTCCCTCCCCTATTGGATCATTCCCATTAGTATACATTCTTTGCATATCTCATTAAAAAATACAAAAAAGATACAAAAGTAAAAGAAACAAAAGCAAACAAAATCCTCCCTGACCTCACTGTTCCTAGAGTTATATATATTTTTCTGCTGCTCTTCACAATAAAATTTCTCAAATACCTGTCTTCACTTTTTCCATCTCCAATTTAGTCTTGAATTATTCCAATCTGTCCCCACTCCTTCATTGAACTGCCTCCCAAAGTCAACATTGATCTCTATGGTGTCCATCCAATGAGCACTTCCCTGTTCTCATGTTATTTGTTCTCTCAGGAACATCTGAGACAGTTGAGTATTTTCCTTTCCTGAAGCACCTCTTTTCTTGGGTTTCATGACACCACATTCTTCAGGTCTTCCCTTTCCTCACTGTCTTCTTTTCAGATACCTAATCTCTATATTTGGAAGTTTCTCAGGGGTTAGTCCTGGACCCTCTTTTCTTATTATTACATGTCCTTTGGTGATCTCATTCTTTCTTATGGCTTTAAATACTAGCTATATTGATGATGCTCAAATTTTCATCTCTAGGCCAGAATTCCCTGAATTCCAACTGCCCATTTGATATCTGTAGTTGGATAACTAGGACCTTCTAATTCTTCAGGTTTCAGCTGAAATTTTGCATCATTAAAGAAAGCTTTCCTAATCACTCTTCAGTAGCCATCATCTTCTCTCTCTCCAGTTACATTTCCTTGTTTATTTCCTTTGCAGCATTTGTTCTAACCATTTAACTTTTTTTATTTGCTTATTAGCTATCTATCTCCTGCATCAGATTATAATCTCACTTACTGGGCTTTCAGTATTTGCTATGCACTGTTCTAACCACTCTATAAGTCTTATGACCTAATTTGCTTTTTTGACTAACCATATTTATTAAAAGCTAAAAAACAAAGAGTAACCTCACATTGCTTCACTTCTAGTTTGTGAAACTAATAGAAGCCAGTATTAGTAAACTGATTTTCAATCTTACAGTTCCATGAGAAATTTCAATATGGTTTGGTAACTAGTACTATTATGTTTCATGTATTCTATATTTACATTTGTTTAAATGCACTCTCCACACTTAGATTTCTTATTGAATGGATACTCTCAGCATATTCATTTTTAGAAGCTGTTAAGTAGAGAGACAGAAGTAAAGTTGTTTGAAAAATTTCCATCAGAGATAAACCATGAAGAGATGAGTGCTTAAAGAAACAGGTAGCTTACCCTAGGTTAAATTAGTTAAACTAGACATGGGCTTCTAACAGACAGAGCTGGATTTGTTCAAGGTACAGCACACAGCCAGCAGAGCACGGTGTAGTCCACTTCACATGAGGCCTGTTATTTTTTTGTTTTGAGGAAGAATGGCCCTGAGCTAACATCTATTGCCAAGCTTCCTCTTTTTTCTTGAGGAAGATTCGCCCTGAGCTAACATCTGCATCAATCTTCCTCTATTTTGTATGTGGGTTGCCGTCATAGCATCGCTGCTGAGGAGTGGTGTACGTCCATGCTCAGGAACCGAACCCAGGCCGCCGAACTTAACCACTAGGCGACTGGGGCTGGCCTGCGGCCTGTTTTTTTTTTTTTTAACTCAGGGTTTGTCCTGCCCTGTAATTATAATTTCTTTCCCCTGCCTTTGCTTTCTTCTGTAAAGCAGCATTATAACTAGGTTTTAAGCAGAAAATGGTATCATGTATATATACACATAGGGCAGTTTTTTCTTTTTTCATAGGGTATAGTTCTGTCGATTGAAGTTGGGAAAAAGGAGAATAACGGATATTTCTGAGAATTTTCTCAAATAATGAAACATCTAAATAAACAATGTAATTTCCAAAAATAGTGAAGTTTGAATTATCATCAGCATGCAAAAATGATGGCTTCTTCAGAGCAACATGTTTCTTCCAGTTAGATTGCAATGATATCCCCACACCAGAAAGCTTTTGGTGGTGGGCTTGACATCTTTCTTTGGAAAGAAAAAGATTGGCAGCATTTTCAGTCTATGTAAAAGCATGCATAAAGGCAGTGGGATATAGCAGAAAGAGCTTAGATTTCTGGAGTTAGACTTGAGTATAATACTAGATAACATACTAGGTTTGTGATCTTGAGTAAATTACTTAATCTTTCTGTGACTTGGTTTCTATAAAATGGGGATCATAATACCTACAGGATAATTGTGATTAATTAAAATAATAAATGTAAAACAGCAAATGCTCAATAAAGATGACCTCCTCCTCTTTTGATCCCTGTATTCACATGATTTCCTTTTAACACCTGATGAAAGGCAAAGATTGACTTGATTTAGGATAAGAAGGATTTATTTATCAATAGGTAAACCTTCTTAAGGTAGTCAGACAAAATGTGAATAAGAAAACTTTGAAGAGAAACCTGGTGGCTATCACCAGAACAGTGTTTGGGGACAGTTCTCTCAATTGTTCATCAATGGTATAGAATAGCAGTATTTGTCTTTCTCTCTCTTTTACAACAAATGACTGAACTATTGGTAGTGTTTTAACAAAAAAATTTAAATACAGGAAGCATCAACACTCAGTTTGGGAGGGTCATTTGCCTGCTAAGAATAAATGGGAAGTAAAATAGCAGAGGCAAATGGGCAAAAGCTGAATAAAAGGGAACCTTACACCTGCCTCACGTATTTGAGGTTGGCAGCAGCTCGTTTGTGGGGCTTGGATATCGGGTGGAGCGCCGTACATCAAGCAAGAATCAAGACCAGTTTTGCACCTTTGTTTCTTTGGCTCCTGACCAGCCAAAGCCGACCGACCTGTACGAACACTCAGTCAGATCATGTTGGCAGCCCCCAGCACTGTTTCCATAAAAATTGGAGGCCAGGTGCACAAATTCAGCAATTGAAGAGGGAATAAGTTGTGTGGATAATCTGATGCCCATTTTAAAAAGCAGACTTGGTTTCGCACTCGGGAAAAATGACAAGACTAGCCAATTTTTTAAACGGGTGATTTCATTCAATAACCAGGGAGATCATTTCATTGTACTTTTAAAAATTTGCTTGTTAGAACATGGTACTTTCTAAGATCCCTATGGAAAAAGCCTTGATTCTTCTTCACTCTGGGATGTTTTTATGTCAAACATCTGAAACTGCTTCTGGAAATTCCCCCACGGGACTTTCCTAGTCTTTCTAGAGCACTCTTAAACCTAGACCCATCCCTAACCAACTTCTACCTTTCTCACCAGCCATATTCTCTAGCCTCTCCAGTTTCCAATTCCCTAAATCTTCAACCTCACCTCTAGAATTAGTCCAATCAAACTTTCCCTTCTTAGACCTCTTTCTTACATTCGCTCCAGGAAACTCCCATGAGAGTCACGTGGCCAAACTTGTCCTTAATGGCGCTCCGTAATTCTCCTACGGTTCCACCGCCCTTCTTTACCTCCTGTTAGCTCCGCCCCGCCCCATTCTCGCTTTCCCCCCTGCCCCCGCCCCCGAAGTGCCTGCGCCTGCGCATCTCCAATTCAGGCGCTTTCCCTTTCCTGGCGACCAATCCACTTCCTGCCTCCGGTCCTCAGAACACTCCACCCCTCTGCTGGGGCCCTGGCTTGAGGTGCTGGTTGGGGCTGCCCTATTAATTGCCTGTCTGAGAAATTCGCTCCTCTCAGCGAGTGGGCAATTCGAAGCAGCCGCTAAGTGTGTGGCATCTATCCGAACCTTTGCGAGCGATCATCCACCCCAGAGCTAAGCTCGGGGCATCGATATGCCAGGGGGCGGGCGACCCGGACGGTTTTCGAGCTGGCAATGGCGCGGACAGCCTCTTCCTTTCCACCGCCCTCCGCCCCGCCCCCACTCGCAGCCGGGCCGCGCTGGTGAGTGGCGGGCGGGAGGGCCGGCGGGCGGAGGGAGGAGGGGGAGCTGAGGGAAGGCGGGCCCTCGGCTGCGAGATAGGTGGGGGGAGGGGAGGGGAGAGCCCGAGCGCTGGAGTTGGTGCTGGGAAACCCGGGGCTAATGTTGACAACAGGCTCGAGGTGAGTCCCGAGGAACCTCCTTCCCCTCCGCTCCAACGATCGGGAGGAAGCGGGGCTGGGGGGCACCGGCCTGGACTCCTACTCCCTGGGGAACCCGAGAGGCGACTCCGCACCCCAGCGCTCCGGGGGCGGCGAACAGGAGACGGACCGCGGGTCCGGCGTCGTCCTCCTCAGACCCCTCTCGCAGAGGCTCCCCTGAACGTGCCCCGGCTCGGGGCCGGCATGAGGGGCGGGAGAGGGGGCGCCTGCCCCCCGTGCCCGGGCTGGGCCTCGGGGCCGGAGGCGGGGAGCCTGCTGTGGCGGGTGAAGGGGTTTGGGGGTGTGAGGAGAGCGAGGGGAGGTGGGGGAAAGCGCGTCGGGAGCCGGGAGGGAGGCGAGGGCGAGGAAGTGGGGAGGGTGCGTGTGTGGGAGGATGTGGAGTAGGGAGACCAGCCCGAGAGTCGCGGTCTCCGGTGGTGAGAGAGAGAGAGCTGAGAAGTTGGGGTTGGGGCGGGGTGGTCCGCGAAGGTGACCGTGGGTACCCCTAGGAAGGGGAGTTGGGGCGGGGAAGCGTGTTAAGTACCGGACTGTGGGGCCAGAGCGCGGGTTTGTGGGAGGTGTGTGCATGGGGGAAGGGGTTTTCGTGTCTTTGGGATTGGTGGGCATGAATTGTTCGGTTTACTTCCTTTTGATCATATAGGCTGGTTGATTCTTCACTTTGCCTTCATCCCAAAGCTCCTAGTACTGTCCTGTTGGTACTGTTGAACTAAGATGATCACGGGGTATTTGGTCTCCAGGTTGGCAAAGCAGAGCACGCTTACAGGTTTGGGGTTGAACGCTGGACCGGACCGTCAGCTGTTTTGCTCTTGTAGGACTTAGACGTAATGATGCATCAGACCAAAGGAGAACTATCACTCACCCTTCTCACTTATCGTAGTTTTTAGGTGTTTATAAGAATTGCACAACTTATCAAGAAAACCATTTTTGAGCTCTGGTGAAGCCTTGTAAAAATTTTGAAAGAGTCTTTTATACTAAGGACGTTCTTTAAAGACAGAGACTGGGAGATAATGCTCCTGTGCGGTTCTGCCCTTAGAACATTTTGAATAACAGACTTAAAAGGTAAAACAGCCTTCTCTTACTCTGGAGTACTTTCAGAGCAGTCTGATTGTGATTTCATACATAGTCCATATGGAACTTTGCAAAGGGCTATTTTTAAAAGGGAAACACCTCCTTTCTTTGCACTGTGTCCCCCAATACACTCCCTTGGTACCTGTCTTACTAGTAAAGTAGTTTTACTTTCTTTTGGAAGTTAAGAGTATATTTAGAAAACCAAATAAAATATACAGCCCAAGAGTCAGGACACTATTTTGGGAGCTAGGAAGGTGGTTTTAAAGCATGGCTTCCTTTTAAGGACTGTCTGAATGTAACTGTCCTTAGAATAATTTGTAAGAGCTAATGATATTCCAATTAAAAAGATCGCTAATTTTTATTTTGATTATTTTGAGATAGACTCTATTTAAAGTTCTGGTTTTTACTTGAAAATCTTTTTGAGACACTTCAGATAAAATATTTGGCTGTTTATTAAATTAAAATAATTTAATGAAGTTTAGCATTTCCTTAAATATAATTTAATGTTCAGTATAATTTTTTTAAGTTGACATAATAGAAATGTATGCAGATCTGATTCATGATGTGCGCCCGGGATCCGAAACCGGGCCGCCAGCATCAGAGAGCACGCACTTAACCGCTAAGCCACAGGGCCGGCCCTAAAGTTCTGGTTTTTACTTGAAAATCTTTTTGAGACACTTCAGATAAAATATTTGGCTGTTTATTAAATTAAAATAATTTAATGAAGTTTAGCATTTCCTTAAATATAATTTAATGTTCAGTATAATTTTTTTAAGTTGACATAATAGAAATGTATGCAGATCTGATTCATGATGTTTGTATATTTTATCTGGCTTTTTAAATCTTAGAGTCAGAGTATATAGTGGGAAAGAACACTGGACAGCGAGTCTTAACCCAGTCACTAAACTAGTTGTGTAATCTTGGGCAGGTCACTCTTCTGCTGCCACCTCAATGTAAAAATTGAGAATTGGAGTAGATGAAATCTGGTAGTTCTAACTCTAAAAATCTTTCATCTTATGATGGACTTTTCAGTGTTCTGTGTGAAAAAGAATAAACATTTATTGAAAGTCTCATGCTAGTTACTGTGCCAGAAGTTTAAGAACTCGGTAAGAGAGGGAGTGATATCGCCATTTTATTGATGAGTGGACTCAGAGAAGTTAAGTTGCCCAGTTTCCGTAGCTAGCGGGTTGCAGAGTTAGGATGCAAACTAAGTCTGTCTGACTTCAAAGCCCATATTATTTTCACATGCTGCATTGCTGCTTTTACTGTAACTTGTAGATTTTCGTCATATTTTTTGTGTACTGAAATTTAGTTCCGAATGTTCTTTGGGCATATGTTTGTAATATAAGGATCAAATGATTCAAAGGAGATACCAGTACCAACACTTAAGGGCCTTATTGAGAAGCTGTTTTATCACGCTCTAGAGCAGGATCTAATTCATGAGTGTCTACTACAGTTTGATATAGTAGGCACTTAAAAATTTATTGAGTAAATGAATACTGTAGAGAGTCAGAAAAGTGTGCGAGGCTCTTTTGAGCTGGTAAATGGTAATTGTTTATGAATTTATCAGATTCTAAGTGAACTTCGTAATGTTTTGACAGAACTTAATATCTAATTTTATCTTCATAAATGAGACATTAGTTGTAAATTTTGATGCTGTTCTTTTTATCGTCTGAGAATTGTAGTTCCTTGTATCACTGAAATGTTGCTTGTTGATGCTTCGTATCGGAAAATACAAATTCTGTATAAATATTATTATTTTTTTGCACATAATGGCAAACATCCCTAAATAAGATTGTATTGTTACCTTAGGAATTATCTTGTCCGGTATGTTTTAGCTAGAATCTGCCAAAGCTAAAAACATAATCTGAAAACTGCTTAGCCATTATCAGGGACTCGTTCTACTCCAAGATACATAATTCTGTGATTTGTCGTACTCAGTATGTATGATCAAGCCTTCCAACTCACTATTGGGAACTCTCAAGGTTTTTAATAACTGGTTAAGAGTATTGGTTCAGAGTCCAGCTCTGTCACCAGCTGTGGAAGCGTTGGTCAAGTTACTTGGTCAAGTCTCAGTTTACTCATTTATAAAATCGAGAAGATAATACCCACCTCATAAAGATTTTAATATTAAATGAGATAGTGTATGTAAGATGTTTACTATGGTACAGTGAGTGGTAGCTTTTAGTAGTATTCTCTTGAAAGTTTGCTTGCTTTAGGGCATGATATTTTCACATTAAAGGTGGATATTTAGTTGAAGCCATATAAGAGTTGATAACTACACTTCCCAGTTAACACTGTCTTGCTGCATACATAAGTAGTTTTGCTCTTTTATATTTTAATGATTGCTTAAGCAGGATTAACAGCCTTTTTTTTTTTGTTCTGAGTTCCACCAATGGGGTTAACTAAAGCCTTTGGGTGTCATTGTCAAAATAAATGCATAGAACATGGAAGTGGAGAGAATAAGAGTAAAAGAGAAAAAGGGGAAGGAAGAGGTGACTGAGAGAAGGTACAGACTGTGGCATGTGCCTCCAAAACTTAAAGTGCTTCTACTGGCCTAGATTGTCTTTCTTTGATAACATTTTATTAGGGTGCTGAAATAAATGCTTTGTGTGTTTATAAAATATTTGTTATTGCAAATGTTTTGTTTGCTGACCTAGTTTTTATTGCTGTAATTTAAAAGCTGTATTTGAAAATATTTAAAAATACTGTGTATATCTTTAGCTTTTACTAAAAAACTGGAAAGTTTGAGTAATCCTATATTCTTTAAATAGAAAGTATTTTGATTTTCTCATATACAACTTTCAAATGATTTAGGAGTTAAACCATGAAGCACTGTCCATAAAAGAAGTTATATTAGCATAGTTCTGAGTAGAGAAATTTAGTTTTAGAAAAGAAAAATCCTGAATTTTGCTGGGAAATACACTTTTTTGTTCCAGAGTTTCTTTCCAGTTAACTATATAGAGCCTGTGCTATAGACCAATGCTATCCTATAGAACTTTCTGTGATGATGAAAACGTTCTATATCTGCACAGTCCCATGTGGTAGCTGCTAGCCACATGTGGAACTGAGCACTTGAGATATGGATAGTGACTGAAGAACTGAATTTCAGATTCTATTTAATTTTAATTAATTTACATGTAAGTAGCCACATGTGGTTAGTGCACTGGTTTTCAGCGGGTGATGATTTTGCCCCTAGGGGACATGGAGCGGTGTCTGGAGTAAGTTTTGGTTGTCACAACTAGGGAGATACTACTGGCGTCTACTGGATAGAAGGTGAAGATGCTGTTAAACTTTGTATAGATAGCGTCCGTTCCCCCCACCCCCCAAAAAAACCCAAAGAATTGTCTTCCCAAGATGTCACAATAGTGCTGAGCCTGAGAAACCCTGGGCTGGTGGCTGCTGTATTGGTAGATACAGAACAGAATATACAGATTATATCATCATTATGTTTATTTATAAATTAATTTTTACTAATACTAATGCAGAGATTAAAGGTCTAGTCTAATTTGAGATAGTTGACAGTTTTTGTATTTGCAAATTTGGTAAGGTGAAAACAATGAAGTGAAATTTGTGACTCATCTATTGTCTATTTTGTCAGTTGATTTATAGGCGGCAAGAGCTCGTTTATGTTCCAACTTAAGTAGTTCTACTGAATATTGTATGAAATAGTATCATCATCATCATCTCTTGATGGATGTGAAATGTTGGGGTTAAAACTGATTCAAAAATGTTCTCAGATACATGCTGAAATATTTGGGATTAAATGATAAATCATTCTGGAGTTGATAATGGTTGAATTTGGGTGATGAGTATATGGAGGTTCCTTCTATTGTGCTCTTTACTTTTGTTTGTGTTTGAATTTTTCCTTAATAAAAAGTAAAAAAAAAAAAAGTACTTAGACATAGGCATAACTAATAATGATAGAATGTGTACTGTGACCAATAAATTATTTTATTGCAGAAATAGTATTCATTTTGCATGCATTTATTTAATCTCTCACAATTGCCGAGTTGCATTAATATGGTCTGTTTCAAAAAAATCGTGTCCCATCACTAAAAAAAGTCACTGTATTTTCAAAACTGACATTCTTTTTCTCTTGCAGATTGTCCTGGGTAACATAATGCCAGCTGAGCGTAAAAAGCCAGCAAGTATGGAAGAAAAAGAATCTTTACTAAACAACAAGGAAAAAGACTGCGGTGAAAGGCGGCCGGTGAGCAACAGGGAGAAGCCAAAAGACGAGATCAAGCTTACTGCCAAGAAGGAGATTATTAAGGTCCCTGAAGATAAAAAGAAGAAACTGGAAGAAGATAAGAGAAAAAAAGAAGACAAGGAACGCAAGAAAAAAGAAGAAGAAAAGGTGAAGGCAGAGGAGGAATTAAAGAAAAAAGAAGAAGAAAAAAAGAAACACGAAGAGGAAGAGAGAAAGAAGCAAGAAGAGCAGGCAAAGCGTCAGCAAGAAGAAGAAGCTGCCCAGCTGAAGTAAGAACGTTTATTTTAATTATTGAAGCGAAGGAATGGGAAGATTGAAATGTTTT